TTTTGCGACGGTTCGGCCGGCCTGCTACTGGATTCGGGGGCGTCCCTACCGTGCTTCCCTTGCCGATCTGTCTTATTATTATTATTATTGTGTTGTACAAAATTTCTCAAGTACCCGCGACGGATGAATCCCTCTATCTCGTCCCGGAGATTTTTACATTGTTCGGTACTATGATCGTGATCTCTATGGAAACTGCAGTACAAGCTTTTGTTTCTCTCGTTTGGGTTCCCTTTTAGGCGAGGTGGCCATTTTACGTATGGGGCGTCTTTGATCGTCATCAAGATCTCAGCCCGCCTCATGTTTAAGGGTGTGTAGTCCGTCCGAGCTGCTAAGGGAGCTCGAAACGACTGGCTCAGCTTCGTCTCCCGGGCCAGGTTTTTTCTTCTGTCATCTGGGTTGGAGGGCTCGCCTTCCCTCTTCCTTTTCTCGATCCCGCTTTCGGTCCTTTGGTTGATCTCTTCCTCTGTTCTCATGAACTTGTCCACGAGCTTGAAGAATTCGGCCACGGTCGCGGGCTGGCTAGCTACCATGTGCCATTTGAACTCCTTGTGTGTTACTCCTCTCTTGGCCGCTGCGAGTTGCACCGCGGGGTCCAGTCGCGGTATCTGTAAGCACGCGTCATTGAACCGCTTGATGTAGCCCCGGATGGACTCTCCTTCCCTCTAGACTACTCCGAAGATGTTTTCCTTGGTTTTGGGGCACCATTTGCTGGTAACGAAGTGTGCGGTGAAGACCTGCACGAACTGGGTCCAGCTTATTATTGACCCAAGGGCCAGGTTCCTATACCAGGTGCGGCCCACCCCCTGAAGGTGGTGGTGAAGGCCACGCACATGCACGATTCACTAGCCCTTGCTAGGTGTATTTGGGACTGGAAGGCATCGACGTGGTTGTTGGGGTTGAAGGACCCATCATACTTGTCTAAAGGGGGGAGTTTGAAGTCTCTGGGCATGGGGACTGCGAGGAGTTCTGATGAGAGGGGGGAAGGAACTGAGAGAATAGGGGTAGCTTTTACCTCGTCTGAGCTTGTCTCTTCTTTACCTCTAAGCTCGGGCAGGACACGGGTGGCAGTTCGGCAACTTCGCCGGCGTCTTCGTTGTTGGGTGGGCCTGGTACTGGCGTTGCTAGCCTCTGTGTTGCCGAGCTCGATGGGCCCGACTGTTGGTAGTCCGCTGCTAGGACGCTGAATCGGTTCTCTGTGAGCGGGAGCTCAGGCTTGGAGCGCCGAGGTGCTAACTTGGCGGGCAAGGTTCCCAACCCGCCGGAGAGCTGCGAGGCGGGGGTGATTTTTCTTTCCCTCCGGCCCGGGGATGAGGCCTGGCTATTAAGGGGGTTCTGAAGTTGGGAGGCTTCTCCTCAGTGATGGCGTCTACCCTGAGGGGAGGGCTTAACCGGCTTTGGAGTAGGGTGTCGAGGTGGAAGTTGTGGTTGGTTCAGAGGAGACAGTTGGGGGAATTGCTGCTGATAGTGATACTAAGAGAGGTGGTGCAATACTTGGTGCTGCTGGAGCTGATGCTGTTGGAACTGCTGCATTTGGGCTTGCATTGCCCGCATGCACTGCATCAAGTTGTCAAACTGGCTCTGGCTAGTCGCCAGGGGGACAACAGTTGGTTCGGTAAAGGTTGTCTTGACAGGGAGAGGAAGGGGGACGTTCACGGTGGGAAGGTTCACTGGCGCCATTGTTCGTGGCGCATTCAGGTTGGTGGTCCCATCCACCAGAAGGGGGATGGTGAACTGTTCGATGCACACCACGGGGACTTGAAGTTGTTCCCCGGGGGCGTTCATCTCTGTGCTACGTCCGGCATTGCTGGAAGAAGCCATGAGTATTGGGGTTTCTTGGAGAAAAGGGGTTATAAGAGTTTTAGAGGGAGGCTTTTATAAGCGTTTTCCCACAGACAACGCCAATTGATGGTGCGCAATCCGGCCGGTCCTAGCTGTCAACAATCTTGCCTCGGGCTGGAGCAGAAGGTGCCTAAAACGGGGGAGAAAGCGAGTAATCTCCGAGGAAGAACCCGGTGAGAGTGCTTCGAAGCTCAAGTTAGTATTTCCTCAAAGGCAAGATAAAACCAGATGGCGCAAAGTTATCACATACCTCTCCTCTTGGGGGGAAGAGGGCCTTTTATAACCACTTTGCGCACTCACTCCCAAGCTCCTGTCAGGTCGGGTATGATTACCTCTACGCTTCTGCCAGTTCGAGTGTCATCACCACTGCTGGGGCAGAACCGCCACTACTCTCTTTGTCGGAGCCGTCTCTGTAACTGGAGATGGCGGTGGCAGGTGGCTGTTGAAGTGCGGCTTTCAAGCGTCAGATCCCAAGTCAGTCAGGTGCGCCGCCGCCTCAGGATACGAACTCCTTCGGTGTCAGGTACGGT